GCAAAATTGCAATTTTGCAATATTCTTTTATTGTCGGAATATCATGCAAAAAAGGTTTTTATACACAACCAATAACAGCTATACGAAATCTGCATGGAACTCGTTCGAAATATTAAACATTTTATATATGCGTTTTTATACTTTTATCTTTCTGCTTTCTATTTTATTGATTCATAAACTTTGCTATTTTATTTTATTTTAGATTAAAATTTTACGTTTCTTGATAATTGTAAATACCAATAACTTACATTTTTTTCGTACTTTAGATATTGTTAACTTAATTATAACATTGAGGTCAAAAGTTGACTAGTAAACTACCTCGCGATCAAACCATCTTGCTTTAACTGCTAAACTGTGCGTGTATGGAAGGAGTTTGAACTTCCCCAAGTCTTATTATCCCTCCAAATAAACCGAAAGGGCTTATTAATTATATCGTTCTCCATCCGAGGGATATATAGGAAGGCATAGATCGAAGCCATGTAGACTAGCCCCATCTAAAGAAAAAAACCACTATGGCTTCAAATTCAAGATTTTTCAATACCGCCCGCCCCTTGCTTGCGATTGGAAGTTTTATGGACCCATGATCGAACGTAAACTCTTATTTTATTGAAATTCTAGATTTCAAAATCATCTTGCGTGGCACTGTCTCTAGCCGAGGAGGAGTTCACTTCTTTAGACGGAGCTACTCTATAATAACCTTTAGCTACTGTGGATATTTTGGGCGCCAATAAATGGACGTTTTGCGTTCGGGGCGAAATTTACTGCGGTTGTTAATTGTGGGCTCGGATTTAGGGCTAGGGCTATTTTTTGGCGAGGGTTAATAATCATCTGGTACAAAAAAAACATTACATCCAATTAGGGCGTATACGTTAGGTCGTTATATTTGATTATTTAATTAATTACGCTGTACGTATAGAAAAAATTAAGATCACTTTTCGAAATTGTATTACTTGATATCGTATGTGATACCTAATTCTACATACCATAAGGAGTAGTAATCTACCTAAAACAACGGGTTTTTAAAACAATAATTAATAAAAAATAGCATTAATGAAACAGTCCCCTGGTTAAAATTCCAGTATGTGTACAAAAAGCCAAGCTAAAAATATCTAAAATCTTTCCTGTTTACCATCAAGTATGAAAAAGATATCATCATCATCATAATTTTCAGTTTATTCAACCATTTCCAATTATGGCGTAGCCTCCCTCACATGTTTAGATACTTCCTTTGTAGTTGGGCCCATTTAGTGTTGCACAAGACTCTTGAAAAAGTCTTGCAAGACCAAGACTCTTGCAAGAAATTCAAGACAAGACTTTGAAAATTTCTTGTCTTGAATTTCAAGACAAGACAAGATTTTAATATGCAAGAAATCGAAATTTCAAGAATCTTGCAAGATTTCTTGAAAGTTAGAAATGATACATTTTTTAAGTTATGCCGGGTTTATACAACAATTACATAGTCGTAATCACAATCATAGTCATAATCATAAAAGTTAAACTATCCACTTCTTATTATTACCTGGTTGACATCTACCATGAACTTAGCCCTTAATTATGTTACCCAACTTCACTGATGTAAAAATTATGATTATGTAAATGTTCTTAAATGTACATTACAATTGCGTTGTGATTATGACGATGATTAAGACTGTGATTATGATTACGACTTATGCAAATGTTGTATAAACCCGGCATTAATATTGACCAGTGTTCATTTTTTTTTCTATCATAGCCAGTGTTTTAGAGTTAAGAATGAAATAAAATAAAGTCGAGGCAACAAACCGTATATTGGGTAATTGGTATTATACACAAAATTATATTGGTATAATAGTGTTATAAAAAAAACTAACGGTAGTTGAAACTAACGCTGGGTTCGTAGAGCACGCTATTTGTGCTATTTGGTACTACTTTTCATGCACGAAATTGCTCCGCGAACAAAAAGTAGTATCAAATAGCGCAAATAGTACACTCTAACATGACCTTTCCGTACACCCTGTGTCCAAAGTTAAATCCTCACATTCATTGTCAGTGTTTGTTTGCTCACTATTACTAACTGCGAATTCACTCCCACTGTCTTGGAAGGGTTCGGACTCGGTGTCACTATCGACACTTATATTATTTATACTGTTGTTTGCAACCCCGATAGATAGTTACCATACTCTTCCAAAACGGCTTAACCGATTTTGGTGAACTTTTATCTATATCTTATATCTGTATTCAATAGTATTCTTAGTGATAGGGATGGTCCACCCCAATTTTTTTTATTTTCTGGACTAATTTTTTGTTTTTATTTTTTATGATGTGGCATTTAAAAATACATACAACCCTAAATTTTCACCCTCCTACCATCAACCCCTATTTTTTATTAGCGATATTTTAATAATTCAATCATTTTCAACCCCGATCGATAACTGATCAATTATCACTTGATCATTTATCCTTAATAATAATAATAAATGAAATCCGCGCTGCAATGTACATTACCGCCAAACATATAGAGCCAAATTTATTAATAAATAACTAAAATTCTAGCGTGCATCCGGCTTATGCGGAATGCTTTGTACGAAACGAGTCCGAACATGGTGTGTTTCCAGTTTAACTCTCGGTGCAGTTATTTAGGAACCACGTCAAAGATATATATGAAGTTATTTGCGGACGTCCGGCAGATATCAGAACGATAATTCACGGAGGCGAACCGCCAGCCAGCGCCGAATTTAGAAATTCAATTTGGCGGAATTTATCGACCGGCAGAGGCGCCCTCTGAACGCTTTATTTGCCGAGTTTCTGAACATATTTTGTCTTTTAGGCTTAATAGAGACATTTTCTTTGCTTTATATAAGGGGAAATAGACAATATATTACTGTCTCAATAGCCGATATACTAAACTCAAAGTTAACTATTACAAGGTGTCTTGTTTGTGTATACCAGGTGCGTCTCAAATGTGGCTCACCTCTATAACTTCTATATATTTGCAGTTAAAACAACGAAATTTGGTATGTTAGTAGGTATATGACATAAATTCGGATTGAGTTGGTTTTCCTCACAGAAACTGCAGTCGCCATTGTTTCTTAAGATCAATATACTTAGGCGTTCGAGGAGACAGTGTCCTGTTAGAAACCCCGTGGCAATCTGAAGATTTTCTTACTTAAATCCAGGCAAATCTTTGATTTTTCTCGGTCGTAAGTTCTGAGGAATTTTTTAGAGTGTCTTAGACCCCTGAAGGATTCCCATTCCAGGTTACGGATGGAGTCCTCCAGCTTGTTCAGTTCCTTTTAAGTTGATTTCCGCTTGAAAAGCAGAACGGTTCTGGTCCAGTTAGTGGAGTGTTCGCTCCTGTTGAAGCTAGATCGTTTGGTTTTTCATTGCCTTCTATCCCTTGGTGAGCCGGCACCTAGAGTAGGAGGACTTCGGTTCATAACGACATTTTGACTCGAAATACCAAGTGTGTGGTATTAAATTATTCGTAAAAATTGCTTTTTCCAAATATGCTAATGAGCCACTCTCGTTCCCTTTGAAAAAATTAAGATATAATTAAAAATACGATTTGGGCTTATTTTAACCCGCCAGGACAAGACAAGACAAACATTAAGACGATCAAATTTATTTTTTCAAGGTGATTACAAATTAGTGTTTTTAACACAACTCTACTACTAAATTGTACATGTACTGCCAAAATATCATCTTACTGTTAAAATGACTGCGATGAAGACTGCCTATGACTGCCAGGTAATTATTATAGACGATTGCCGTAAGACTACTAATGACTGCCAGCGACTGAGAGGAAAATTTACATATAATTCCAGTAGTGAGACACCCTTCGGTGTTTTTAAAAGTTCTATTTCTTCCAATTTCGATCAACACCGCCCTTTTGTACGATGGAATGACTTTATTCTCTTACCGAAAACCTTTAGTAAATGTGGCTCTCAAGCCAAGCCCGCACTATACACGATTGGAGTGAAGCTTGTCGGCTAGGGGGTAAAGGTTAATGGGTAGAGGGTAAATATACCTTGTACGCAGTAGTGGACGGAAAATTATTAAAACAGTAACCAATCTAATCAAGTTCAGTTGCAAATTGTAGCTCCCGTGAGTGTTTTTAGTATCATGCCCCTTTCAAAATTTGCCAGAAGGCTTCTGCTCTGTGACAATTCTTAGTGAACATTCTAAATAATGGAAAATAAGAAGATGTGGGTGCATGAGTATAACTTGCATAGAGACCATGATGGAGAATTTTTGCGAGTTTACAAGAAAATGCGAAATTACCCTGACAATTTTTTAAATTATGCACGTATGAGTGTAAAATCGTTTGATTTTCTACTTAATGTTCAAGACAAATTAGAAAGGACGTCTACAAACTTCAGAGAAGCAATTTCTGCAGAACAACGCTTGTGCATTACAATTTTTCTTCCATTTTTAGACCAAAACTCCTTTACGCCCTGGCTGAAAATATTGAACACAACTGATCTTCAAGTGGCTCGCTTGGCGAATTGCTTTGTGGCTTAAGTTGGTGGGAGATTGCACTGCGGCTGGTTTGGTTAAAATCGCATTTACGGAAACATACCTCGCGGGTTACTTGGAGGGTCGCTTGGCGCCTCGATACCCGCTACCCTCCAGATAACTTGCTTGCACTGCGGCCTCAGCTTCATTGTTGACTGCTAGTAATTACTAGTAACGATCAACAAATTTATTAAAAATAGACATTGAATAACTGTAATCGTTAGCATTTCCTAGTTATTGTCAACATTTACTGGATTTCCGCCTTTCACTGTAACATATTATCAATGTTTTAAGTGTGAGAAACAAAATGATGTCAACAAAATGATGATTAATGATATTGTTATTCCCATCAATCCATAGACAACTGCGTTTTAAAAACTTACAAAAAACTTCTCAAAAATTATATCTTATTTATAACCACATACATTGTGTAATTTTCATGTATCAGACTTTTTAAAATTTTGAAAGTTCCAGACTACCATTTCCATTTCCCTCACTCATATTCCTCACTCGTCTCTTCCCATTTCTCTTGCTTCTGCTATTTCGGCATATTCCTTGAGGATCTGGTATATAGGATGCCATAACATTGGCACCTAAAAAATAATCTTCTTTATAATCACTTTCTGACAAATTCATTGATTGTGAAAAATTCCCCCAAAATATTTATGTTTTAGTGGCTTTAAATGTGCCAGGTTAAGTACTACCTATTATATAAGTAGTATGAAAAATAGAAATTTCGCCATATTTACTGCATTTTCCCATAAATAAAATATTGTATCCACTTTTGTAATTAATGGTGAGGTTGTAAATAAACCAAACCAAACCAAACCAGTAAACGTACCTATATCCAGGAATGATGGGATATTAACTTGTGATATATATGTGTCTATCTAATATTACATAATATATGTTATTAATATTTTCTGTATTTTTACAATTAATTTAATATAAGCGACAGATTCATTAAATTTAGCTTAAAGACCTTAATATAAACTTTAATGCTACTTAAGCACGCCTACGAAAATTTATTGTTTGGAATAAATCTTCTGTATGATCTTATCATACTGCGGAGTGTTTCAAGCCTATTTACCCCATCAAAGAATATATTTATCTTGCAAATATATACTTTAATAGCAAAACGGTGGCGTCTGAAAGGTAATTATACAGATAATTATTTCAACCGCAGGATCCTCATTAAGTCAATGGCAAAGACTTTCCACGAGAAAAGCATGAAAGGGAAAGCTCCGGGAAACAGATTCTCAAACAGGGATGTGTTCTATGTATGTTCTAGATGTATAGAATACATTCTATATTACCTTGTTTAACAATTAACTAGTTATTTGTCAAACAAGTACGACATGTGTTTATACAGAGTGACAATTTGACAAGAGTAGGTACCTAGCAATAAAAAATACATTTTTCACAAAAATACTATCAGAAAAATCTTAAATAGATATCGGGGTATTGGAAAGAAAGCGTTGGTTTTTCCAACGACACTTTTTTTATTTGAAAGAAAGTCAAAAAGTTGTTAAAAATTTTGCTTACTATTAATCAAAACTAATCGTACAATTTAAGATTTTGCAATACTACTGCGGTGGGGGGGGGGGGCAAGTTATTCAAAGATATTCCATTCAAAATAGATTCGTATTAAAAAAAGTTGAACTGGTTAAACTGCAAGGGATGAGGTAGAGTGATTCCAAATATACATCAAATTGATTCTCACTCCAATCTCCCGATTAATATTTGAGATGTTACTAATATTTTTTTTTATGGGAGAGATTTCTGGTTGACACTTATTAATTCACTGTCATTAATTAGGCCCTGGCATAAAACAATTACAAGATAAAAAAAACCTTATCTAAATATAATTTTGCCACTGTAAACAATTGTTACAAAATTTGAAAATACTATCGGCGGCTTTATGACAAAAAGGCTCAATTTTTGGCGATTTTAAGATATCATCGTCATGATTTGCCCATTTGGGTAATTTTTTAACATAGCATTTTAACATAATTTATTATATTAAAACAAAAAAAAATTCTAAAAATAAAATAAAAAAGTAAATGTTTTGATATCTGCAGAAGGTCTAACTTGTATTATAATTTATTATTCCAGTTAAAAACAATTTTTACATGAGTTACGGTAGCGAGCATAGTTTTAATCACCGGTTTTGCTAGGCATAATTGGGGCTATTTTGACTATAACGAAATTTTTCAAAGGTACATAATTATAATTTTAGAAGATAAAACATTTAATCTAGTTAATTAAAAAAAAGTATACCATATCCTCTCATAGTATATCTATTTAATTTTTTGATTATGTAACGAGCACTTTATTTACTAACTTCTTTCGTCGAACTGCTTGAATCTTGAATTTACTTTTGCTTTTTATCAAATCGGCGCCGGCGCCGGCGCGAGAAACTATGAACCTATAAAATGTTGTTTCGGAAGAGTTGAATATCCGGGAATGTTGTCTTAGTGAATGTTATTGCACCCAATTACGCTCTCCTTGACGCGTTAGCATTTTTTCGGCAATTTTATTAAGATTATTTTTTACTACCCCTAACAGCGTTACATCACACAAACCTACTACCTGAGTGTTTTATAGTCTCAATAACTGCACTAGCAAAAAACTAAAATACTTAAACGTTATGACAAAATCACGATTACAATATTATTTTAATGCGGTCAACATGACGGCGCAGCCGCCGACGCGCGGAGGCGTGAAGTCATAATGATAATTTCTGATTTCGGCCGTTGAAGCGTTGCGGTCGGAATTTGTTGAAATCAACTGAAATGCACCAACCCTGAGAGTTATAGTTGCAAATAGTTCTAAGTGTATTAACAGCTAGCTGCCTTATAGCTTGCAATAGACTTCTAATTAGAAAGTAAATTCGAGAGGAAAAGGTTTTATAGCTAATTTTTATTTTACTCGCGTAGTTTCCGCCAATCCTGTCGTAAAAGCTGCGCTTTCATATAGAGCTTTTATGCTTTAAAGTCAGAGGTTATACTATTAATTTCTTTTTCTTCAAACTCGCAGAAATTACGTTTGCGCAAAGTAATAACCCTTTGGAATGGTCTAAGTAGTTCGTAGTTCTAATAAGATGTCAAGACTGTTTGGAGATTAAATAAATAATTTAATCTATAAACATATAACTTCATATAACTTGGAAGCATTACTTGTGTTTTACGTATGCGCGAATTATATCTGTTTAGACATTTAAACTTTAACGGTCCTTTTGAAATTTTCCTGTTGTAGGTTACGTTTTCGTTTCAAGAATATGGCGGGTTTTGAATTTTATAAAGTATAATCAAATTTTAGTTGACAAAATAGGATCTCTTAATCATATTCTTTTTGGGTGTAACAAATGTTCAATCTACTCAATTTTATAAGTCACTGGTTCGACACTTTGGATACTCTCCTCATAATTATACCTCAGCATTGCATACACATCCCGATTTAACCATTAACGGCTACAGAAGGGTCTGTCAGACACCTCGCGTTATACATTCTTCTATATTTCGATTCTGCAATTGTAGTAATGAGGCTGCATGTACCTTCAAGTCAATAGGCGTTCGATAAGTTAATAAAGCATTAAACTTTTTTGTGTACGGAGTGCTGATTTATTGAATATTTGATTTATTGAAACTCGAGAAGTGTCTACCGAACTACTGCGTGGCGGAGTATTTTTTTATTAATTTTTGGATATTGTATGGTTTTTGTTATTTATTTATTTGTTTTATTATAGACATATATATTAAACAAACATAATTGCTTCGTCCACGTTACCGTAGATGGAGCTAAGAAGGCTTAGGTAGGGTATATATAATAAATGAACAAAAATACGAGTAATTCGTATTGCCGAAATTCAAAACCAGATCGTACCGCCGAAATTCAAAACCAGTGGCCCACTGGACAAACATGCTTGCTTCATCCACGTTACAGTAGATGGAGCTAAGAAGGCTTAGGTAGGGTATATATAATAAATGAACAAAAATACGAATTACTCGTATTTTTGTTCATTTATTATTAATTAATTAAAACTTAATGCAGAGAATAAGCATATATGTAGGGTTTTTTGGCCCCTTTTTTCCGGTACTCGTATTTTTGTTCATTTATTATATATATTAAAGTTAAGTTAGGTATATTCGATACTAGAGGTGGCGTAAGTGGTTACTTTCAAGTAACCGTTACAACCGTTACAGATACTTTTCGGTACTGAGTACAAACACTGATTACAAATACTGATTGTAAGTACTGCTTTGAAATAAAAGTTGTAACAATAATTGGAAATATTGTGATGTAATCGTTACGTTAGTTTTTGTAACGTAAAGAAAGAATCATTATTTTTTAAATTACCGAATGATATTAACATAACATTTGTTTTCAGTAATTCAGTATAATATAACACAAAAAGTTGAAAACTTTTATTTAAATATTAGATTTATTCTATCTTTAACAGAAGATAAAAGTAACTAAAACATTTTTAAAATAAATACATGATTAAAAAACAAGTTGTAACGTAAAACAATAATACATATGGCTCGAACTAAAGACGTCTATTTTTTATTTCATGTTCATATTTAAGAATACTAATTCTTTCACTTTTGTTGTGGTAAGCCGGGTTCTTCGGTCCGAAATTATATTTCCAGTCTTGGAAAAGATGCGCTCACAGGGCACTGATGTCGCTACCATATTACAGTTAGTTCTCACTAAATGGGCCAAATTTGGGTAAAAATGTTTATGGTCCTTCCACCACTGCAAAGGATTATTTTTCCTTGGAATGAGATCATCATCCATATATCTCTGAACTTCTTGAATGGCCAGTGATGTTGAAGTTCCCTTAAGTTTTACTGTATTAATAATATTATCGTAATTATCCCAAATTGATATTTTCTTCTTTTCGGGATTAGATTCAAGATTGGGTAAAGAGCCAGAAGTGTCTGCTTCGTTAATTGTTACATCGTTCATGACACTTTCCTTGCTAATTATTCCTGCAATCAACTGAATAGTGCTTTTCTTTATCCAGTCTGTAGTTTTTTCATCCTCAAACAAATGATGTTTGTATCTTGGGTCAAGAAAGGTACACATACAAACAACACTAGAGATTTACTTTTTTCTAGGTTTGAATACCTAGTAGCAATGCCATCCAATAATGCTTGTACTACTAATTTTATTGAATTGATCTTTACATCATTCGAGAGCTTGGTAAGTAGAAACTTTAGCCCGCGTGTTATTGGAATTATTTTGCTAGCAGTAATATAATTTTCACTGCTCATCTCTGTAGTAACTTCCGCGCATGGCTCTAAAACCATGCACAATTCTCTACATGTATTCCATTCGTGTTCTGTTAGAAGCGGCAAATCAGTATTTGAAAGGGCCAGAGAGTGTTTGACAGCTTCTTCCAGAAGTGTAATGCGTTGTAACATAAAATATGTTGAATTCCATCGTGTGACGACATCCTGCAACAGTTTCTTAGGCTGTTTAATACCTATTTGTTCTTGATAAGTTACTAGTTTCCTGGTTGCTGCGTTACTTCTTTTAAAGTAAGTTACAATTGCCTTCACTTTCATAAGGACATCTTTGACATGTCGAAGAGCGTCTTGTACAACCAAATTTAATTTATGTGCGTAGCACCCATAATGTTTCCATTTCAAAATGTTCGTAACGGTACTTGTAATATTAGAAGCATTATCTGAGATAACTATAGTGATTTTATCTTTGAGATTCCACTCACTAACCATTTTAGTGATATATTCTGCTAAGTTCTCCGCAGTATGGGAGTCTTTGAATACCGAACAATCCAACAATACAGTTTTCATTTCAAAATGTTCATTTATATAATGAGCGGTTAACGCACAATAACTGTCATTTACAGACGAGGTCCAAGCATCTGTTGTAATACATACACTTAATGCTTGTTCGCTTAGAGTATTTTTTACATCTTGACATATTTCTTCAAATTTTGCTGGTATCAGAGAATTTGAAAAATATTTTCTCGAAGGTATTTTATACTCAGGACACAAATGCTCATTAAATTTTTAAATCCTTTATCTTCCACCATGGTAAACGGTTGGAAGTCCCAGGTAAAAAGCTTCATTATGGCCAAATCAACTTTAGATTTATCAGTAGATGACATTTTCTTTGGTATAAAATGAGACATCGCAGTTTGCCTTTTGGTTCCACGAGATGTCGCTTTTATAGAAGACAATTCTGTTGTAATAACACTGCAAGCGGATGAAATTTGCGATTGTTTATCAGAAGTGGAAGCCGCATTGTTATCTGGGTTTGTTGCAGATATAGTTGAGGGAGCAGATTCTATTATAATAACTGGGGTATTCTCTGTGATTTCTGCAGGCTGTATAACTTCCGTAGAAAAAAAAATTGTAGGTGGAATCACTGTAGGATGTTTTCGTGACAAATGTTTTTTTAAATTAGATACAGACCCCTTATAATGATAAATTAGCGGAGCATAACTTACATTTTGCAAGTTGGTGATTTAATGGGTCAAACATATTCCATAAATCACTAGTTTTTCTCCTCTTCTGATCCATGGTTCTCAATAATTATACATGTGTTTTAAAATATTTTCTTAAACACTATTGCACAACTAAGATCAATAAAATAAATCACGTAACGTATCAAAACACTACCACGCGATCAAGAGTAAAACGAAACAACAAACTGCCATAAGATAATTTGAATTATTAGGGAATTCTGGGAATTACAGAAAGTAAAACCTATGGGTTCCATCGTGACAGCGCTCCAAGGTCATCAGTTTTAAAATTAGTGATGGGATATTTCAAATTATAAATAATCGATAATCCGATTTTTCAATTAAGCATTTTATGCCCGTCGTTATTTTTTATTAATTTCTAAATGATACGAGTAGCATTAAAATGGGTGTCATATTGTTAAATACACAAATTTCCAACAAAAATAAAATCATTGGCCTACAATAGGTTATCGTTAACCGGGTTGCCGATCTTTCAATAAATATTCATACTTTATATAGACAGAAATCGTATTGCTGGTTGCCGACACTTCATTAAATATCCATGCAGAGTTAACACAATCAGAAACGTCTATTGAGTCTATTGAACAGTATTTTACTTAACACCTACCTGTGCACCTACCTATGAAATATTTGTGACAGAAGGCTATTCATAGTATTTTCTGCTAAATGGTATCGATTCACTATTCAAAACAGATACATTGACAATTATCACTTTACCCAATAAAATAACAAATATCTGTAATCAGTATTTTTGAATGTCAGTAACGATTACAGTTACGTCAGTCGAGTATCTGTTACAAAGTACTGATTATTGAAATCCCGACACACCTCTATTCGATACCAATTAAACTTTTAGTTACGTAATCGAGGGCGAAATTTTTAAATTAATTTTGACAACCATGGACATATTCGGCGCCGAGCTGACTAACCGGAACTTAAATTTCACGCTGGGGATTGAGGTGGTAGCTCCGCTGTAAAAAATGTCAAGTTGCCACATTTATTTATTTATTTTGTAGAGTAACAACCAAAGTTCGTCAACAAAGTTGAAGAGGTAATATTTTGGCCAACTGTATAACAAACAATTTAAATGAAAGAAAAGAACCTACGTTGTGTTAAATATTTTTTTATTGTGATTACCTCGGATGCGCTTCGACAGAAGCAATATTTTGGAAAATTTGAGGAGAATAGGCCTGAGATTAGGTCATGTAAATGAAACTCTAAATTTGGTAATAGCCCTACTTATTTTATTAAAGAAATATGTTTATTTTTAAACAGTCGATTCATCTCAATTTCCTGACATTGTCATTGGTTTTGAAACTTTAAATTTGTATGTTTTGTATTACGAGTTTTTGGTTTAAACGAATTGTGTTGTGATACTTTAAGCTTAAAAATGTTTACTAGCAGGCCGTGCAGTCGAACATTGTTCTTTTTAGAACCTCTTTTAATGCGAAGTGGTACAAGATAGCTTAATAATAGTCGTTGAAAAAAACTCGCAACCTTAAAATAAAAATCACAACCTTAAAATAAAATATTTTGAACGGGAAAGCGATAGTAATGCCTTTTATGTCCTTTAAGTGCTCTCTCCCGAATGATTATATTTTTCTAAAATATTCTGATTAAAATAATATGTAAAGTGGACAACGCCCATTTTTTCCAAAAGGTTGACAAAAAATCGATTTTCTTAAACAACTAAAAAATATCCAGCCAAAGCTATTACAAATCTAATGATCGAAAAAGGTTGCTCAACCAAAAAATACCATAAAAGATAAAACTTAGGGTGAATATTGAAAGATACTATGGTATGTGAAGCAACTGAAGAAGAGTGGCTAGAAATAAGAGTCTTTGCTCTAGGGGCTCTTACAAAATAAAAAGAAACATCGAGTATATTTGTACAGTTTGCAAAAAAATCCACTTGTCTACAAACAGTACTCAAGAAAAATATGTTTAAATCGCTGCGAGTATAAAAATATGTAAGAATATTGCTTTTTTATGTTTTCCACGTATTTTTTAAATAATGTTTGATTGCAGATTCACAATTGTTTCTGTCATGTGGATATATTTTTAACTAACTCATGTAAACTCGTAAAAGTATAGAGATAAAACATTTTATTTTCACCTAACCTAACGGCTACACCTAAACCAGCTTTCTAAATTATGTAATTTAATAGAGATGTCTACCAGACCGTTCTGTAGCAATTAAAGGAAAATTATTCAGTGCAGCCTTTAAGAGTTAATGATTTCAAATTAATTCTTAACTCAAATTTCTTGATGCTTGTGGTCTGAAATTATAAATTATTGTGCACTGGTTCATGCGATTAATAGTCCATATTTCAAATTTCAGATTTCCTATAGTTACTGACTACAATCTGGGTATGGAACTCACCCAGACTCGCTGACGGCGAAATCAGATTAGGTCTAGAATAGGTCCAAGAATCACGCCCTTAAATATTAGCATGTCCTTAAGAAACACCCTGTATAATACTCCTAAATGATTTAAATATCTATCATTTATAGTTATAAACTAAAGGATAAAACAAAATCGTACAGCTAACAGCTAAACTAAGACAAATACAAACAATTTTGTTTTAAAGTCGACTTGATCTCTTCATCTCGACGGATGATGTGTAAATTCCTGTAATATTCCGCTATACAGATAAAGGAATATTCAGGACTTTTGGGAATATCCGAGCATGTATCTTCACTGTACCGAATTTATAAATTCAATTTTGTAAGGATTTATTGCTTAACGCAAAGTAAATAGGTGAGACGTGAGGGGGTCTGACCAGAGAACTGGGATAAAAAGCTCCCAGGGGTAGAAATAATATTTTACAGAATTGTTATACAGGGTGAGTCTTAAATAAGTGCAAATATTTTCAGGGATGGTAGATCTCAATAAAAGAAGCATATTATTTTCTTTTTTTTTTTGTTTCAAATAGGCCCAATATTATAACCGAGTTATTTTACTTTAAAAAATTTTGCTGGGTTTTCTTTCTTGTAAATTTAATCTACTACCTATGTTGCCATATTATCAAGAAATTGTGTTTTTAACTAAGAATTAAAACAAATTAAAAATGTTTCCAAAAATGTTTTTCGTGAAACAAACCTCATCATGTTTCTGAAGAAAATATATTACCCCTAAATATATTTGCACTTATTTAATACTCACCCTGTATATGCTTTTTCATATAGCCCTTTATTAAATGTAATTTAGTATCGAATGTAGATAAAAATTTGAATATGAGTTTCATGCACGTCCAATATAACGGAAAATGGCGGATAATTTAACTATTTTAACTAAAACTCCCGGTTTATAGATTCTACAAAAATTCACTCAACATATTGAGTGAATAATCTAAGTTATATATATTATCTAAAATATATACCGATACCTTACTTTGAAAACTTTCAATTTCTTTAAGCCTCAAAATATTAAAGTTCAATTTTTGACAAAAAAATATATGTTTCGATAAAGATCTCATAGTCTATTGTACCTAGTGATGGGATAACTCGAGCGAAAATTCACTCGAGTACTCGATTATTGAAATAACCGACATTGCTCGATTATGAACGAGCGATGCAAGCGACGAGTTACGAGCGACGAACGCAAGCGATCCTAGAATAAAATAAATTCCGTTTTACGATTTCAATGTGACATACTCGATAAAAAGCCGAGCAAATTTTCTACATAAATTGCAGATAGCAAATTTAGACGACGTTATCTGTTGCGTATCTGAGTGACAAAATTTTACGACCTACATCGACAATGCTTTGAAATAAACTAAATCATGCGATCAAGCGAATCGCTCGTCGCTTGCTACTTGCCATTTATCTCCGAAAGAATATGTGCTCTGCGTACGCAACTTATTGCTTGGCGTTACGAGTACAACAAGCGACGGGCGAAAACCCGTATTTTTCAATATGAGCGATATTTCGCTCCAGCGATCGCTCGATTATTGAAATCGCTTGATACTCGATTACTCGATTATTAAAATTAATCGGTTTCTCCCATCACTAATTGTACCTATTAGGACAATTTTTTCACAATTAATCGGAATAGAACTCAGCTTTTGGGTACTTATGAGGTTTTCAAATTAAGGTATCGATATAAAGAAAAAAAAAGATACGAATTACTTAATCTTTTATACAGAAATTAAAGAATAATATAAAAACGTTAAGTACATTCGTAACAAAATTCGCAAGCAATTTATAAATCAAAATTACCTTATCCTGTTGCTTGAGCGTTGTAATAATCCATTATATTTTTAATAATATATATTTTTAATTAAATATAAAAAAGTTTCCCCCCTTTGTTAAGCTTTAATGTCTAAAAAACAATTTTCTCCAAGGCCTAATCCCGCTGGTATATTCTCGTCCAAAAAAATTGGGACATCCAACAGAAGCCCCCTGGGGGATCCCACTTTTATTAACAATTCCTCACCTAATCCTCAAACATTTTTTTCCTACGATCTTTTTCCCTCTTTCATATTTCGGGATTGTATGCAAATCCGCAGACACCGACAAAGGTTAATTGTCGCCCATGTCTTTTTCTACCCTGCTGTCCCTGTTTTGTTAGTCTTCAACATTTCATTGATGTCCTGCTAAATTTAACATCCATAATACAATTAAAGTTGGAAACCGTTAAAAGATTTCTCATATAATCGAATTTGATTGCGGGTGGTGCATTGTCGTTAACAACAGGAAATCCCAGCAAACTCTGAACTGTCTAAATATTGGCTCCCCTGTTGACTTTGCAGCGAAGTTGTTTAAAGGTAAGTTTTTAAAGGTAAGTTCACATCCAAATTTGAACAATTTTGAACAAGCTGATTTTAACTAATTGTAGAAAAAGTCCATATATTTTTAAATTAAAACAGACATATGCCAACATACCAGTAACAGTAAATGAAGATTGAAACCGCGGCCTAATTCGTCGACCGGGACTTTTCAGGCGGGTTGTGTACCTTTTTGGGGAGTAGTGTTAGGGGAAGAATCGTACACCGTGCGTGGCAAATGGGCGAAAAACAGTTTTTCGCACATATC